CATCCGCTGCGTAAATAATTGTAATGTAAAAAATGCAGGGTTCCACACAATTCATTCATGTTGTCCCAATGCAAATTGATTAAGTTAGCTAACACTTTTAACAAATTTATGTGGATTGAACATAAAAAAATTAAGCTGTCCCAATGAAATCTCAAGAAGTGTGCAGTTTCAGCTCATTTTAATTAAGTAGTCTGAACAAGCAAAAACATATAATTTTTTGAGTGTATGCTGGTTAAGTTGGTGGTTTATTCCACTGTTGCAACCCCAGATTAATAAAGGAACTGAGCCAAAAACAAAAATGGGCTCAAATGCCCATTTTCCAGTTGAACTCATCTGCTTTACAAATTGTGTATAGTTTACAAAACATCTTTACCAAACGTATTATCAAACCAATTAAGATTTTAAAGTGATGTTTAATAGATCGATTCATTTCAGCTTGTCATTTAATAACGATGCAACTAAATAAATACACAATTCATTTGCATTGATTTGATGGCAGCAATGACTGTGACACAATAGACATTTCAGTCTCTCTGACGCTGCACGTCACCTAGTCTTGCGCTCTGCCTCGGCTTTACCTATTCAGTGGCTGTGACAGACTAATATGCAGCTCAAGCCTTCAATAAAAAGGCGACGACAGCCATGTTAGTTGAATGAGGATTTGCAGAATAGGATTGCATTCAGCAGGTGTTCCTTTAGCTATGAATCAATTTGAGACTCAAGAATTTCTGATTGCAGCAGACTGTATGTAGAGCTGAAATGGGTTTTCAATGATCAAAACAATGAATGTATAATTAGAATGGTCCTGTTTCACTTGTTTTTTTTTTTCAGAGCAAAAGATTACATGTAATGATTTACACAAGATTTTACAGAAAAATCATTCAGTAGCAATAATTTGTTTATAAAAACGTTTTGCCATTAAAACTTGTTGCAAGAATCATTTGATGACACTAAAAGGATCACGGCAGCTCCAAAACACTAACTAGATGTCATTTTAGATCTTTCTACTGTGAATCTTTTGAACCAACAGTTTTTCCCATTTTCAGTCAAGACAATAAATAAATTAACAATCAAATAAAATAAATTCTTAAATAATAAAGCAAGGAGCGATCTGGTGGCACAGTAGGTAGTGCTGACACCTCACAGCAAGAAGGTCATTAGTTCGAACGTCTGGCTGGGTCAGTTGGCGTTTCTGTGTGGAGTTTGCATGTTCTGCCAGAGTTTATGTGGGTTTCCGGGTTCTCTGGTTTCCCCCACAGTCCAAAGACAAGGTACAGGTGAATTAGGTAGGCTAAATTGTCTGTAGTGTATAAGTGTGTATGGATGTTTCCCATAGGTGGGTTGCAGCTGGAAGGGCATCCACTGCGTGAAACATGTGCTAGATAAGTTGGCGGTTCATTCCGCTGTGGCAACCCCAGACTAATAAAGAGACTAAAGCAAAAAGAAAATGAACGAATGAATAATAAAGTAAGTTGCTTTCATTTTTCATGTAATGCCACATGGAAACGGAACATGATTTCACCCACTCATAGCATTTGTTTTCTTTATATAAGCTGATTGAAGCATATGATTTAATATGCTTCCTGTGTATACAATATGACTTAAGTTGTTTTAATTTGATGTTAACACCAAAATGGGATGTTGATTTGAAAATGGGTTGAAGAAAACATGATTCATTTAACAATTAATTCAATGTAAATATCTGTCAAACTTGCATTTTCTGAGTGAAAATTCTTTTTGCATGCTACTGCATTGAAGTTGATAGTTGTGTGATGAAAAACTAAATGAAATGTGATTTTCTTACCAAGATAAAAGTCTCTCAATACTAATTAGTTGGCTTTCTAAAACTTAGACAAAGGTTTAATTAGTCTAAATTATAACTGTAATTCTGTTAATTGCAATGAAAACTTGGTGCAAGAATCATTTGATGACACATTAAAAGGATCACGGTAGCTCTAAAACAACAACTAAATGTCATTTCAGATCTTTGTACTGTGCCAGAATCTTTTGAACCAACAGTATTGAAAGACTTTTATCTTGCTAAAAAAAAAAAATCACATTTCATTTAGTTTTTCATCACACAACTAAACACTTCAATGCAGTAGCATACAAAAAGAGAATTTTCACTCAGAAATTGCAACAGTTACTCAGTAACATTAAATTAACTGAAATGAATTGTGTTGTCTTGTAAAATGTGTTTGTATTTGATGTTTAATGAAGATGCGTCAAAGTCGAGACATCCCATTTTAGTGTTAGCATCAAATTAAAACAACTCAAGTCATATTGTATACGCAGATATAAGCATATTAAATCCCTCCAAAATCTACTTTAATATTTAAAAGTTCAGCCAACTTTTATGAAGAAAACAAATGCTAAACGTGGGTGAAATAATGTTCCATTGAAATGCTGCAAAACATGAAAAATTAAAGCAACTTACTTAACTATTTATTTGATTTGATTATTTATATATTCATTTTATTGTCTGAAAAATGAGGAAAACTGTTGATTAAAAGATTCTGGCACAGTACAAAGATCTGAAATGACATTAAGTTAGTATTTTGGAGCTGCCGTGATCCTTTTAGTGTGTCATCAAATGATTCTTGCATCAAGTTTTCATTACAATAACAGAGTTAAAGTTATCATTTAGACTAATCGAACATCTGTCTGATTATAGAAAGCAAACCTATTAGTATTGAGAGACTTTTATCTTGTTAAGAAAATAACATTTCATTTAGTTTTTCATCACACAGCTAACAACTTTAATGCAGTAAGATCCACAAAGACAATGCAAGTTTGACAGATATTTACATTGAATTCATTTAGAAATTAATTGTGTTTTCCTCATCCCATTTTGGTGTTAACATCAAATGAAAACAACTTTAATCATATTGTATACACAGAAAGCATAAGAAATCATATTTAATGGTTCAATAAAACTTTTATGAAGAAAACAAATGCCAAACGTGGGTGAAATATTCCATTGCCATGTGGCATAACATGAAATATTAAAACAACTTATTTATTTTATTTGATTATTTACTTGTTCATTTTCTTGGGCAAAACGAATAGATTTGCTTTCTAGAAACCAGACAGATGTTCGATTGGTCTAAATGATAACTTTAACATGTTATTCGCAATGGAAAGTTGGTGCAACTAACAGCAAACCTTAGGAGTGCTAATAATGACAGATTACCCTAATGTCATGATATAAGTCCTCTTGACGGGAGAAAGAAACCCCGTTTCTGGCCGGCATTCCTCTGTGTTGGTTTTTGTTACAGCTGCCAGTGCAAATTTACCCCTCCTCGTAGGCTTTGCTTGAAATAGGCTTATCTTTTGAGGAGCCTGATCAGTTGACAATAGCCCATTTAGATGTTAAAGCTGAGTGCTGCTCTTCTCATTTCTACAAAAGATAATTATTCCTTCAAATAAGTTACTTCAAGGCTGCTTTTAGCACTTCTGTAAAAAAAAAAGTGGCATAATAAGGCTTTGAATTATGAGGGGGAGAAAAACTGAGATTTTCGAGATACAACTGACAATAGACAAAGACGCACATGCCTGGAATGGTTAGGCTATAGGAGTACTGCGAAACAAAGGCGACGAGGGTCCGGTTGGAGAAAAGCTGATTTATATTTGAATGATTGGGACATCAGAAAGGGAAAATGTCTTTGGTGTATTGATAAGCTGCTCTTTTTAGCGCTCCCAAGTCTTGGGAGAAAGGTGCTATCTAAAGACTGTCAGAATGTCCTCTGGAGTCCTGCTGATATCTTTTGTCATAGCTGAATAAATCGTGACTAACAAGGCCAAGGGTGGATTAGCCACACAGGATTAAACAGGTTGTTGCTTGAGGTTTGTCTAACTACTGATTAATGTTTCCATAGGAAAACATGCGGCTCGCTACAATTCATCGGCAAACAATGCGCCGCTAATGACCGCTAATAATAGGCGAAAGATTTTGCTCGCTAACAAATGGCGAGCCGATGCTACGAGCTTGAAATGCACAGCAAGCGGTCGCAACAATTGAAGCTTTGAAAGCAAGAGGGCCGGGAGAGATGTAAACAATAAAAACAGTAGGAAAGAGTGGCAAATAACGCTCGGCGTACCGCCGCCATTATCAACGTTACACAATCGATGCACATGCCGCCTTCACAGTTACCTCAACTTCACCGTAGACTATCCCGATTGCCTCAACGGATCTGGTCTCGTGCTACGCAGTCTGCGGCATCCCCGGCCGCCATCTTTAAGCACAACTGGCTTTAGTTGGCGATGGTCCTCCCCTCCATCTTTCTTTATCCTCTTGCTTTCCACCCAGCCCCCCTTTGGTGCGCTATTTTGACATCATTCGCTGGATATCGACAGGCTCTCAGACGGCTCGGTCGGGAATCGGCGAGGACATGGAGCCCTCGCTGCTGTGCTTCACCCAATGGTGGATCCTCTGACCATGCTTGATTATCTCGAGACATATCCGCCGAGGACAAATATTCATCCCAGATCTGAGGCCTTTGATCTGATGAAGGCCCGATTTGAAAGCCCCCTCCAAAGAGCCCTTTAAAGACAGCGTTCCCTCAGATGTTCCAAGTAATGAGATTTGGAGTGCTATGATTAATCTAGGCCAATTTCATACACTGAGAGAGACACACACACACACATGAAAACACAAAGACATGGACATATGCATACTAGGAGCAATCGAATTAAGTTTACGCGACGAATCCTCCCATTCGCAAATTAACGGAAAAATAGATACCAGAAGCAAACAACAGCCCAGCTGGAGTTCTTTGATCGCGCTTTGGGAAGAAAAAGAAATGGATGTGAAGAGGCTTCAAGAATCATATTGAAAACTGCGGCGTTTTTTTCTCGCTTTCATTTGCCTGACGTTCACAGTCCATTCTTCGGCCGTTTATTGGCACTGCTAATGCTAATCTCGTTGACCAGCACATTTCACGGAGAAGACTCCAAGAACAATAATGTGAGTTAAGTCTCAAAATGGTTGATGCTCTCACCTGCCTCTCCTGCTGGGTGTCTCCTCCGCTGTGATTTCTGCCGTCCGCCATGACTGGGCGCAGTCGCCTACTTGCCACCCCGGAGTACTTTCTTTTACTCATGAATCTCTTTCTGTTTTCTTACAACTGTGTTGCTGAAAGATGTGCATCTTTACTTTATGTTGCAGCTTCAGCTCTGCAACCTGATTGGTGGACGCGAGGACCAGATGATAGACCTCGGAACCCTATTGTAACTATGGCAACAGACCCCACAGGCATGAGTGATGTGCTCCTAATTGCAAAGTAAACATCAGAAAAGCAACTGGATATCATCGGCCGAAAAAGTGTGACGATTACAGCCAAACGCAATGAGCTCTGAAAGGAAAACAAAACTGTTTGATATGCTGCCCATTCTGAGCGGGATGAAAAGGGAAGCACAAAGACCACAGAGTAGCGGTCCTTTTCAAACAGCGCTCAACGCCACTGCTGTTTGATGTTTGGGAGCATTTCATTCACCACAAGCAAACAACAACAGACTGACCACGGTGAAATACACATATACGCAGCGAGACGAGATGGAGAAAATCGGCGTAGGCAGATATGAGAGTGCTGGAAAGGAAAACGTCGAGAACCAAGAAGATGATATTGCCTTTGTTGGGTAATGTTATCAGCTGCTTACCTTTCATACGGATTTCACACTTGCTTGTCTAGTAGCAGCCAGGGTCAGACCCAGCAAACCCTTCCCACAATGACCGATTTTCCATTCTGGCGAGGATCCTTGGTATTGCCTGCCACTTGCATTTGCATTGGCGCCGCCACTCTCAAACAAATTTACCACACACACTTTGTCTTGTTTGCGGGACTTCACATCGTGCTGTCTTTGGGGCTTGCGTGGGCTAGTGGTGGACTCTCATTGAAAAGACAGTTTCGATTCCGCACGCCGCGCGTTCAAGAACAGCCATGTGACTAGTGAGAAAAGAAAGTCACTGCAAAATAGCAGCTGGCCATTAGTCTCAGTGGCCCCTCAGCACCCTGCGCTTGGGTTGGTGGGGTGACTCAGGTGGGGGTTTCTGGACTCAGGGAGGGAGAGATACATTATATACTCTTAGGAGTGAGTGCTTCTTGTTGTTTAGCAGTAGAAAATATGGTAGAAACTGAGCATTTGAACACGGAAGCTGTAGAAGATTACATATTTAAAGAGACATTTCTTTCAAAAGGAACACGAATGAGGGTAAACGAGAAAATAGCACATTTTTTTAAGGGATTTTGAGGGTTTATAAGTTTTTAAACATGAAATATACAATATTTAAATATTATAATCATGCTATTATGGGTATTTTTAAATACACTATCATTCAAAAGCTTTTATTGACATTTTCTAAACATTGAAATCAATTTTTTTTATAGCACAAGTGAATTAAATTAATTAAAAGTGAGTTATTTTACAACTGATTATGTCAAACTTTCTATTAAGCAGAGAATTCATCAATTTTAAGTAGCACAATATTAATAATTATTTGACGCTTGTTTTACGTTACATTTTAAGATACAGAGACATAAAAGAAGTCATAATGATATTGCTAATTACAGTTTTATTCTAAAATTGCACTAATTCATCTTAAATGTACATATCCACTGCACATATACTGTACGAGTGTAATTATGTTCATATCTATCTGCATACCTCTGATTATTAATAGCAACCTGTACATATATTCATCTACTGTAGAGAGACATTATATGCTCTTAGGAGTAGGTGCTTCTTGTTGTTTAGCAGTACAAAATACGGTATAAACTGAGCATTTGAAGACGTAAGCTGTAGAAGTTTACATATTTAAAGAGACATTTCTTTTTAAAAGGAACACGAAATCAGAGAATAACACATTTATTTGACAGATTTTGAGGGTTTATGAGTTTTTAAACATGAAATATACAATATTTAAATATTATAATTATGCTTTTATGGGTATTTTTAAATACACTATCATTCAAAAGCTTTTATTGATATTTTGAGATCAATATTTTTATACAGCACAAGTGAATTAAATTCAATAAAACTGAGTTAATGATACAAATGATTTCTATTGCAGAAAATCCATCAATTTGAAATAGCACAATATTCATAATAGTATGTTTGTATTGAATTACATTTTAAAATACGCAGACATAAAAGAAGTCATTTTTATTGCAATGATATTGCTAGTTTACAGTTTTACTCTAAAATTGCACTAATTCATCTTGAATTTAAATATCCTCTGCACAAATACAAGTGTAATTATGTTCATATCTATCTGCATACCACTGATTGTTTATAGCAGCCTGTACATATATTCATCTAATTGTAAATCTCTGTTCACAGTTAATACAACCTCTATATAATGTTTATAGTACACGTATCTGTAAATATCACCCTTAGTGTTTTTATAATTGCACTATAACTTATACCTACAGTGTTCAGCATAATTGTACTTATTTTGAAAATCAATATTTCGATCCATTTCTCTGTGAATATGGGCAATGTATTTTGGTGCATTTAAACAAAACAGATTTATTAAACAGATATATTTATGAAAATAATATCTTAGTCACCAAGCATATTTAGAAATTGAAAGATAACACACTTAAAGTCAAGCAAAATATTGCAAAAATAATATACAACCTACAAAATTTCAACTAATTTTTCAATTTGATTTTTCCTTTTTTTAACATTTGTATTTAATATTTTTCTTTAACATATAAATTTGGCTGTACTAGTTTTTGGACTGTAATCGTAAGTTATTTTGTTAGATAAGCTCCAGATTTGGCTTTAGTACTGACTAATCTAATGTATGCACAAATATAATATTGTAAAGCTTCCTATTAAAATATAAAATGCAGAGCACTATATATCCTGCACTTGCTGCTATTGCACTCCTGGTTAGACCTAAACTGCACTTTGTTGCCTTGTACTTGTACATGTGTAATGACATTAAAAGTTTAATCTAATCTAATCTAATATACAATACTGTTTAAAAGTTTGGAATGAGATTTTTAAAATAAAATGAATGAATTCAGTGGAGATATTTAATTTAATAGTGACAGCAAAGGCATTTCTAAAGCTAAAAAATATTTCTATTCAAATGAACAATCTAATAAGCTTCCTATTAATTGAAGAATGATAAAGTTAAGTAGCATGACACTGATAATAAAACAAATATTACTTAAAAAATGTAATTAGATTACAATGGCATTTTTAAATTGTTAACATATAAAGCAGTCATTTTAAATAATTTTTAAAATGATATCTCACAATATTGCTGGTTTATTGTACCCTTTAATATTTACAGAATGCAGATATTGTATTATTGTATTGTATTTTATTATTGTACATTTTGATAGTTCAACCTCATAGTATACTAAAACATTTGGTAACACTTTATAATAAGGTTGTATTAGTTCATTTTAGCTAATGCATTTACTAACATAAATAAACAATGGACAATGCATTTACTACAGTGTTTGTTTATGTTGGCTAACATCAGAAGTGAAAACACAGTTGATCACTGACAGCTGCATTCACTAATGCTATAACAAGCATGAATGTGGATGTTAATAATGCATGAGTAAATGTTGAACTATGAATAATGAATGCTGTACAAGTATTATTCATTATCAGTTCATGTTAGTAATTACATTAACTAACAGATCCTTATTGTAAAGTGTGACCAATCATTTAGACAAAATCATTATAATGACATAATATATTATTAGGGATAACTGGAAAAAGGGTCTACTTCCACAGCTACAGATTAGTTTCCATGCATCTTTTCTACAATTCTATGTCCTTTTAGAAAATAAAGTGTGTGTGTGTGTGTGTGTGTGTGTGTGTGTGCAGGTCAATGCATTTCATTAATATGAATACATTTTCCATATACTTCTTTCTAAATGTTTTAGCTTTATTCTGAGTAAAGCACTGCATTATCAAGCTGAAGGAAATATTTACAGGGTTCCCACTCTTTCATGGACACTAAATTCAAGGACTTTTTAAATCCCTAATATTTTTAAAGGGCACCCATGGTGAAAACTCTACTTTTCAAGCTGTTTGGACAGAAATATGTGTAGGTATAGTGTATAGGCGGTCATATTGGGATGTTATAAACACACAGAGTCCTTTTTGTTTTTCAATTTAACAACATAAAAACCAATTGGACCAATTGGAGCGGTTTTCAGACTGACTGCAACTTGACGTACGAGTGCGGTCCCCCCGCCCACCGAATTGATTGATAGCAGCGTAACATGTTCCGGTAGTCTCGTGTATAATCAGATCAACAAGAGAAGATGAGTGCAATGCAACCGGGAATAACCGGGTCTGTTCAGTTCACTAGGATCATCAATCATCATCAAATGTGATCAAGAGTGAGTTTCACAAGTTTAAAATGTTTTAAAACAGAGCACGTGTGTAATGAATTACAGCGATTTACTTCAGCTTTACTTCATCAGCACAGCCGCGTGTCAACAATTATAAATTAACAATTATAAAAGAAGACGCTTAAATCCTGCTTTGTGGACGTTAAATCAGGTTTATTTTAACAAACTAGATACCCCTACAGCAGTGGAGATTAGCCTGTGTCCTGTCACTTATGCGTGCAAAAAGAGTGCAAAGCTAAACGTGCTGTCTGTATGTATATGCGTATTGTGTCCGTGCTGGGTATGTGTGTCTGTGTGTGTGCGTGTGAACTTTGTAACGACATTGGCGTTGTAACTTAACACAAATGCAGCAAATAATCATCATGGGTAAAGTTCTTACTGTAGTATTTCTCACAAACGCTACGTGAGATCTGCTTCCTTTATGTCTGTTTGTTGTCAGACTCAGCAGAGGGAGGAGATTAAGGCACGTAGAAACGGTGGGCGAGGAGGACTCGCCTCAAAGGCGCAGAAAAGCAAAACCGTCACCCAGTGCAAAAAATGTAGAAAACAGAATCTTATAAAAGGTAAAAAAAAACATCTACTGGATGTTTTAAGGCTGAAACTTTACAGACACATTCTGGAGAGACAAATGATTCATAATAAATCTGAAAAAAGGGGTAACCTAGGTGCCCTTTAAATCGAGAACCTTTGTAATTCACACCCCCAGCATGTAGCACCTTAAAAGTCCTTCCTGTACTTAACATTTCATTCATTCATTTTCTTATCGGCTTAGTTGCTTTATTAAACATGGGTTGCCACATGCAGCGGAATGAACCCCCAACTTATCCAGCATTTGTTTTACAAAGCCGATGTTCTTCCAGCTGTAATCCAACACTGGGAATTACCCATACATTCTTGCATTTACATACGTACACTATAGCCAATTTTTCCATTCAATTCACCCATACTGCATGTCTTTGGACTGTGGAGGAAATCAGAGCACCCGGAGGAAACCCACGCGAACACGAGGAGAACATGCAAACTTTACACAGAAATGCGAACTAACCCAGCCGGGGCTCGAACCAGCGACATTCTTGCTGTGAGGCAATCATGCTACCCACTGCGGCACCATGCTGCCCCTATAACATTTTACTTATAATAACATTTAACTTTTACTTTTAATATTTACATTAAAATGTCATAATGATGATGTTTGTAATGTAATTTTAAAAAATGTTTACTGTTTTAAACTACAGTTTTAAAGTCATGTTCAAGAAAATTTAATACAATTAATTCTATTCTGGCAATGTTCAAATGTGGTTTCTGAAGTATTGAAAAAATGCATAAGTCATAGTTCATAAGACTGAAATTTCGTTCGGGCTTCAGGAAAGCAGAACAGTACAATTGGGGAAATATCACTATAAACCTTATATTCAAGCACTTTCAAGGACCTATGTTTGTTTTTATCCAGTGTCCAAGCCTTGAATTCATGGGCCCAATTCTACACCCGGCGCATAAAGGGGCAAGATGTGTTTGGCGCGATTTGTTGCTATTTTTAGACCAACGCAACCTTAATTTTCACGTTTTGCGCCATATTGTTTAAATATTAAAGTCTTTAAGTTTACAGACTCATGAGCATTCCGGTCTAGAAAGGTGGTGTGTTAAGGCACATTGTTGGCGCGCTGCTTTTTTGAGGAACTGAAATAGACAGCACCACTGACCAACTAAAAGCTGCTCTAATGTAAACACTTACACATTGCTTAATACACACAGGATGTACAGCAATACACAAATATCTTTACATATAAAAAAGAATGTTACAAAAATTTATATGTTCTACATAAACATAAAAACTACTGCCTCCATGCCTTCT